GAGGTGAATTAATATAGATCTTAGTTTATTTTAATAATAAGAAACTTCAAATACCAAACTTCTATTCAAATTTCAAAGAATTAGTTATCAGTTATTTTGAACTTATCAAAGTTCTGAACTCAAAAGTTATACTTTTTTTTTTTTTTTTTTTTTTTTTTTTTACAAGTAACCTTTTGGCTGAACACTTTATTAAATTTTTGTTATAATTTATTACAAGTAATGATTATAACAAGTTTAATATCTATATATAATCTTAGAACTAATTTATCTTTAAGATATACTTAACCTAATTAAGACTAATTTACTATAGTATTAATTAGGTTTATGCTATAACTATTTTTATTAGATCACTTTTTCTGTATTTACTATATCACTTATATTTCTACAAAGATACTACTAAATAGATACTATAGATTATATAAGGCATCATAATATTTACAGAAAACTTTTGTTTAATATTTAGCTATCTAAATTTATATATCTTCTAATTAGCTCACAATACTCAATCTAAACTCATAACTAATACAACTACTGCAGGACTGGATATACAGTATTTATAATATACAACTGTATATATATAGAAAGTAATACTTTTAAAATTATTTAACTTCAAAGTTAGACTTTCTAAAGTTATTTTTATTAAGAGAAAAAAGGTATTACTTTTATACTTTTTGTAATACTAGTAAATATATTTTGAATAAAATTAATTTATTAATTTATACTATAAATTTGATAAATATGATAAATTAGATAAATTATATATATTTGATAAATTTGATAAATTCAATAAATCAAATTTAATACATTAATATAACAAGTTTTCTACTCTAATAAACTATAGGTAGTAAATCTTTTACTCTCAAAAGCTATATATAATAATAATAATACTAAAAATAATTATACAATACTAATAAATTAAAATAATAATAAAAAATAAACAGGTTAATAACTAGAAGGTTAAACTAATCTTTTATATAATTCTCTCCTATATTTAGTTATAGAAATTTGATAAATTCAATTTATTGAATTTATAGTATAAATTTGATAAATTGATTTTATTCAAATTATATTTACTAGTATCACAAAAAGTATAAAAGCAATATCTTTTACCTTCAATAAAGACAACTTAGCTCAATAAAATAATCTTAGGTTTGAAAAATAAAATACCTTTTAATAGTAATCTGATACTATATTTATTAAATCTATAATTAACCAAATAAAATACCTTTTAATAGTAATCTAATACTATATTCATTAAATCTATAATTAACCTCTGATTATATACAAACTAATCTTGACTCTGATAAACTCAGACTAAATCCTCTATACACTTTTTTGACACCTTCTACTATTAGAGTTATTGTTGGCTTGATAGTAGGTTGTAGATATTAATTATGAGACTATTGTTCTAATCTACTTTCAGACTTTAGACTTCTATTCAGCTCTTAACAATATTATTATAATATTAGAATTAATTATCTAGTATTATAGTAGAAATAATTATATGAAAAGAATAAACCAAAATAAAAGTAATAAGATAGCAGAATATTATAATACTTGAGATGAGATCATTTTATTTTATTGCTTTATTTTATTTTTATACTAAATATTACTTAATTTTTATTTAATATTTATTATATAGTTACTTTACTTCTATTTGATTACTATTATTTTTTTATTATTTTCTTCTATAATATAATAGTTTTTATATATATTATTGTGTGTTGTATTTATTGCTTTATTTTTCTTTAAAACTAAAATTAATATGTTTAATATAGAATATTAGTAATAGTATATTAAGAAGGTATATAAAATATAGCAAAAAGAGTAAAAAGAGGTAATAAAGTAGTAAATTTCTAAAAAAAACATTATTAATAAAAATAAAAATTATTATGATTACTTTCTCTATAATAAATCTAATACTTAAAATTATAAATTTTTGTTTATTTTTAATATATATTGTGAGAGGCAGATTTGAGGCTACTAGGTCCTTCATAGTTAAAATATAATAAATATAAAGACACAAGGCAACACTCAAAAGAAAGCATGAAAGATTTGATCTGAGAACCAAAGATCTTACTGCCACTAAAATTCTAGTTTTAAGATATGTCTTTATTAAATAATAACTTATCTACTTCACTGTCTTTTTACAAGCAAGACTTTTATACAAGAGAAATATAGTAGAGGTCTTGATATAGCCTAACTAAATTGAGTATTGGGAAGGAATCTACAAGCTAACAATAATTTATTTACATAATTATGACATAAAGCTATTATTTAATAAGCTTCACCTTGAACTAACCCAATATAGTATTTTATTCAAATATTATTTTCACATGTAGGATTCTGTAGTTTAGCTTCAGCTCGAGACCTTAGTTCAGAAGGCTTCAGCTTGGAATCTTAGTATAGAAAGCTTCAGTTTAGCACTTTAGTTCAAGAGTATTATATTACTCATGTGCCTATAGCTAGATCATATTTTCTTACTTACTCATATACCTACAGCTAGGTCATATTTTGCTTCTCACAATATGTTACTAACTAAATTAACCTATGTATAATTCTTGCTCTCTTATATTGTAATACTAGTATTATACTTCTGACTAATATAATAGCTAGCCTGAATTATGAAATTACACTGTGCCTAAAATTTCTTACTAATTAATAAAATTTTTGTTAACTAATTACAATTAATAATCATCTATGATATTTTGAAATTTACTGCTACTTTTATAATTCTTAGAATATCTGATAATTTTCTTACTACTCTAAATATACCTAGTCTTTGTTTAATAAATTATCTAACTTTTTAGAAACTGTATTACTGTCTTTGGATTAGAGGTCTAAAGACAGCAATATAGATTTCAAAAGGTTAGATAATTACTAGATAAGACTGAAATATTTTAGATAATGAAAAAATTATTAAGTATTCTAGAAATTATGATAATATATGAGCTGTTATATATAGAAATCAAGCAGATTGTTTTTATTGAAATTTTTTTAAAACTTTAAACAACAATAACTTAACAATAACTTAATTAGAGTAATTTAAATCTAATACTCATAGTTTTTGATTTCAAATTAAATTAGTAATATAATTATTTTGAATTAATGATTTGTAAATTTTATTTATTTTGATTTGTAGCTTTTGCTCTTTAGTTATTTGTTTAAAAATTCTTTTGAGAGGCATATTATTTTATGAAATATTAATAATTTGAAAATAAATATGTAATATTACTTAAGAATTTTAAAAAAATTTAAGTAACAATCCAAAAACACAGAATTTCTGTAATAAAAATTTGTAAATTATACATATGATATATGTAATTTATGTGATTTGCTGATAATTAAAAATAAAAAGTGCAATTTAATATATTTTGCTTAAGCAAAAAAAATATATATATAATTTTATCTCGTAAAAAAAAAAATTTACAATTTTTCAAATACTGTGCTTCACTGTTTTATGATAAAAAATCAATTTGTTAATAAAATATTCATAGTTAGTAATATTATCCTAATTAATTTTTAAATTAAAATATTCACTATTATTTATTTGAGCAATTAAAATTCAATATATTTAATATTTTTAATGATTCTTTACTTTAATATACTACTATGCTATTAGCTCATTTGGTTCTATTATTATCAGTTTTTATAATAGTCAATATTATGGGATAAAAGAATAAGTCTCGGAAGGTAAGTCGAAGTGTGCCTACAGATGTAAAATAGTGATGTTAAGATCAGCAGATAGAGTAATTACTGAGAATAAACACACCCATCTATATGTTGTTACACAAATTGTAAGTGATGATTAGAATGGTGATGAGAGTAGTGATGAGACAATGACAAGAATAGTGATGAGGATGGTGATGAGAATGATGATGAGAGAAATGTCATAATATAAAAAATGAGACATATCATGTTAGAATAGAAAACAAGAGTAATATAGAAAAACTTACCTTAGCCTTAAAAATCAAAATGTTATAAAAAAGCTATAATATCTCCTTTGTAAAGTAAGCTCCTTCAGGACTATCACAATAACATAATAATTAAAAGAATCTCCTTAAATAAATAGTGCATATAACCTTAAATTTAAATATCAAAATGCCAACTTTACATCTCTGGTAAGAAACTTTAAGTATAAAATCAACTCATCCACTTGTAACACTTAGTAGTGACTATGAGATACTAACTTCTAACTTAAACAAAAGAAATCTTATTAAAATGAATACAGATCAGTTCAAAGAATTCATGGACATGATGACTAAGTCCTTCTCAGAGAATAAACCTAGCTCTAAAAAAAATAACCTTGTAAAAATTAAGAATTTCTATAGGACAGATGATAAGGACCCTATCAAATAGTTCAATGAATTTGAACGTGTAGCAGAAGCCAATAACTGGGCTGAGAAATGTAGACTACAAATTGCTTCAGGTTATTTGAAAGAAACAGATACAGATTAGTATAAAGAAAATAAAACAGATATTAGACATTAGAAAACTGAAAGTGAAGACGAAGAAGAAAAGAACCAAAGTTTTTATCACTTACTAGTAGAAAACTTTGCACCTCCAGAAAGACAATACTGTTGGCAAATTGAATTAAATAACCTAAAACAAAAAGAAGAGGAAAGGGTAGACACATATGCTACAAAATTTAAAAGGCTACTCAGTAGAGTAAACCTGAATAATAACCTGCCAGATGGTTATGTAGTAGAGATGTTTTTAGTAGGTTAAAAAATAAAAATACTACTTTCATCACTGTAAACGCGCTCAAGAATCTAAATAAAGCTATTGCTGCAGTACGAAGGGTTAAAGCAGGAGACTACTATTGCCAACAAATAAATGAAGACTAAAAAAAATCATAACAAAAAGCAGAATTAAAGGATATAAAAAAAAGAATAGATCAAATAGTATTAAATTACACCGCATTAACTGATAAATTAAAAATACAAATAATGGACGCCCTTACCCTTCACAAGAATAGCAAAAAAAACCGAATGCTTTAACTGTAGTGGAAAAGGCTACATATCAAAAAATTGTCATTCTGAGAAAAAAGTAACGAGTGAGGATCAAAGAAATAAGCAGAAAACTTGGAATTGACCTAGAGTTATAATTTTTGTGAGTTAGTTCAAGAAAAAGATGAAAGTAGGGAGGTGTACACTATTAGAGATAGAACAGCTATGAATAAAGTTACGAAATGACTAGTTAACATGAACTAGGAAAATAGATTATATGATAAGAAAGTAACAAGAATACAACTAATCGAGAAGACTACTAAAAGACAAGAAATAGAAATTAATAGTGATTCTGTTAATAAAAATACTGGCACAGCAAGTAAACCTAAGAGGAAACTCAAATCCTCTATAGTTGACACTCTTAAACTATATAACATTGCAGATGATATTTTATCTCTACCAACTAGTGCTACGGTAGGCCAGATACTATAATACCCTAATCAAAAAAGGAATCTGGCTTAAATATTAAAGAGAACACTACTCTTACCCAAGACCAACTTTAATAATTTTGAAAAAAATCACCGAATAACTGCAGCAAGATGTTATGTAAGAATCCATAACAATTTATTAACAGCAGTCCTCAATTCGGGAGCAGCTAAAAGTATTGTCTCGAAAAGACTACTTGATAAAATTGGCCTAGAAATTGATAAAAAATTCACAACGGTCACAGTAATAGTGATGAGAGCTAAGGCTAAAATATTAGAAAAAGTAAAAAACACAAAAATAGTTATTCAAGGTATTACAATACCTACTACCTTACAAGTTCTAGAGTTCTCTGAAGAAATATTACTTCTAGAAACTAACTAGTTCCAAAAGGTAAATGCTCGAATACACTTTGATGAGCAGAAACTATATCTAAAATACCTAGATAAGTCAGCAGAAGTTCCAATATCAAATACTGGAACAAAAATATTAATACCTAACAATGAAGATGAATTCGACAGCAAAAGTAGAGATACTTTCGATGAGTTTGACTACGAGGAGGAAGAGGAACCTAGTGAACTTGAAGGTCTCTTTATTAAAACCTGGCTAATAACGTACGAAGAAAATTCTGCCTTATACTTAACTAATATCGAGGAGGTACCAAGTAAAGACAAAGAAGATGACAAAAAATCTTTTAAAGAGAAACTTAGAGAACTCCTTAATAATAAAGTATTAAGCATGATACAAAAAGAAAAGGTTAAAGACCTTTTTAATCGAGAGAAAGATTTGTTTGCTTAAGACTTAAAGGACTTAGGGCGAACAAACGTTACCACACATATTATTAATACAGAGGATGCAATACTAATCAAACAAAAACCTTATAGATTAGCCTAGAAAGAGGATAAGTTTGTAAAAAAAGAAATTAGTAAAATAATTGATAAAGGACTAATTAGAGATGCAATTAGCCTTTAGGCTTCTCCTGTAGTCATAGTGCTAAAAAAGAGTAGAAAGTTTTGGTTTTGTATAGACTACAAAAATTAAATTCAGTCACAAAGAAAGACATTTACTCCTTCCCCTACATTAATGACCTTCTTGATACTTTTGGGGATACTGAGTAGTTTTTCACTTTAGATTTGATAAGTAGTTATTAGCAAGTAAGAATGAGAGAGGAGGATAAGAAAAAGACCACCTTTGTTATAAAGTATGGCAGTTACAAATTCAATATAATGCCATTTGGACTCTGTAACGCATCTAGTACATTCCAAAGATTAATGAATAAGGTTTTACATGAATGTATTGAAGAATATGCTGTCATCTATCTTAATGACATAAATATATATTCCAAAACATTCGAAGACCATATCAATCACTTAAAAACTGTCTTCAACAGGTTGCAGGGTACTGAACTAAAATTAAACCTAGAAAAATTTGAGTTCTTTCAGTCAGAACTCTATTACCTTGAGAACATAATTAGTAAAAATAGTGTAAGACCTAACAAAGCCAAAATAAAAAAAGTAAAAAACTTCCAAATACTAACGAATCTTCATCATTTGAGAGGATTTATTGGTTTAGCATCTTACTATAAAAGATTCGTCTAGGGGTTCGTGACTATAGCTCGACCACTACATAAACTTCTAGAAAAAAATATACCTATGAATAGAATATGAAGCAACAATATATATTCAAAACTTTAAAAAGACATTTAATGATGGCATCGATTCTATGATACCCAGAGTTTAAAGAAATATTCTACTTATATTTGGATGCTTCAGGTACTGGATTAGATGCTATCTTAGTCCAAAGAGACAAAGATAATAAAGAATATGTCATAGCTTACACTAGCAGAGGACTTACAAGGACTGAGCATAACTATTCAGCACCAGAGCTTGAATGTTTGGTAGTGTTATAGGTAGTTGAACATTTCTATTATTACCTAGGCGCAAGACATTTTATCTTAGTTACGGATTATGCTGCACTTAAATAGTTAAGTACTACCAAACTAAAAGAAAAGAAAGCACAGTGGATATTGAGATTGCAGCCCTATGATTATATAATAGTTCACCGAGCGGATCAAAAGCATTCGAACGTTAACACCCTTTCTCGTATATAAAAAAAAAAAAAATTTTTAGTCAGCCTACTAAAGATATAATAATTAAAATAAAATTGAATTATTATTTTTACCATAACTAAAATTACTATATACTGTTAAAAGCAATTTGAAATTAAGTATAATATACCTGTAAGATGTATACAAATAGCCAAGTATTGGTGTGATAGTAAACACTATGCGAAAAAGATATTTATACTTTAACTGTAAGATATGTACAACTAGCTGGGTGTTGGCATGACAATAAACACTATGTGAGAAGAGTAAAATCGCTTTTACCAGTATAAAAAAAATTTACCCTTTTACTAAGATATAATAATTAATACCTTTCGAGAAACAAGACTCGAAAAGAAAAAAAGAGAGATTGAATCTAAACACAAGATCAGAATAAAAAGAATACAAAAAAGGTGCAACATACTTAAAAGATTAAAGCCTGATGATAAACTTAATTCTGACCAGGTAGTCAGTGTCCTAACAAAATAAAAATAGAATTAATAAGATACTAACAATTAAAGAAATATTTAGTTGAGCAAAAACTGCCACGTACTCTCTCCCCACAACAACGATGAAGTCTACAATCTCAAAGCAAATTCTTTTTAGTTAAGAAGGGATTAATCTACAAAAAGAATAAACATCAATTAAATGAACAACTAAGGGTTATACAGAAACATAAAGTCGAACCGATCCTATTTTTAATGCATACCACCTACTTGGAGGTCACTTCAGAAAAGATATAATATTTAACAAAATCTGTGATAAATACTATTGGCCTCAAATATATAAAGATATAAGGTGATATGTATGGACTTGTGATGCTTGTCAAAGAAGAGTAAAAACTTGGTAAAAACCCATTACATCCAATTCAAGTTTAGGCTCTATTTTTCAAAGTTGGGATCAATATTGTCAGGTCTTTACCAAGAATAATCTGAGAAAATAAGTATAGAGTTGTAGTGACAGACTATATAACTAAATGGCTGAAGGCCAAGGCCATTGAGGCAGCAAATGCAAATGAAGTAGTAGATTTTATTTACGAAGACATTGTATATCGACATAGTTGTCCTTAATATTTATTGTCAAACAGGAGTATACACTTTAGGAATAGTCTGATTGAGAAATTTCTGAAGAGATTCAGAATAGACCACTACTTCTCTACACCCTATCACTCACAAACTAACAGCTTAGTTGAGAGGTTCAATAAAACACTCTGTAAATCTATAGCCAAAATCATGATTAATGTTTGAAAGTGGGATTTATTAATATCATTAATTCGCTTTCCTATCATATAGCAAAGCAGAATACAACAAAAATGACCCCATTCTATCTAGTTTACAGGAGGGAAGCATCTCTCCCAATACATCCAAGTGAATCTGAAGACTTATTAGAAGAAACATTTGGGATCTTTGCTAGGAAAATGACCTTCTGAGGATATGTGGATTTTATGAATTAAATTAAAGTTTACCAGCAATCCAGTAATCTAATTCAAATAAACTTTTTTTTATTTTATAGAGTCTAGTTAACTCTATGAAATAAAAAAAAGTTTATTTAAATTGGATTGCTGGATCGTTAGTAAATTTAAATTTATTTATAAATTTCCATATAGCCTCAGAAGGTCATTTTTCTAGCAAAGATCCCATTTCTACAATGATTATTCAAATTAATCGATATTGTATCATAGTTCAGGGCTACTGTAGTCGAGAGGGTTGAACAAGCACAAAGAATAGTCAAAAAAAGATATGATCAACAATTACGAGTTATAGAAAACTTGAAAAAAGGAGATCCTGTTCTGGTCTATAAGGCCTCGCAAGCTACCTCAAAGAGCAATAAACTCAACTCTAAGTGGAAAAGACCTTTTGTTATTCTTAAAGTCCTCTCAAGAGGAGTCTATAAACTTAGTACTGTCGATGGAAAGATCATCAAATTGCTGATTAACCAAAAGTTACTAAAAAAATACTATTATCGCGAAAACCAAAATTAAAAAAAAAAAAAAAATTCTCCTATCTTATGTGTAATATGCATAAGATAAGTGTGGGAGAATGTTACAGGATAAAAGGATAAGTCCTAGAAGGTAGGTCGGAGCTGCACCTACAGATGTAAAATAGTAATGTTAAGATCAGCAGATAAAGTAATTACTGAGAATAAACACACCCACCTATGTGTTGTTACACAAATTGTAAGTGATGACAAGAACAGTGATGAGAGCAGTGATGAGACGATGATGAGAATAGTGATGAGGACAGTGACGAGAATGATGACAAGAGAAATGTCATAATATAAAGAAAAGAAACATATCATGTTAGAATAGAAAACAAGAGTAATATAGAAAAACTTACCTTAGCCTTAAAAATCAAAATGTTATAAAA